CTGCTGAATTTTTGTAACTGTTATCACTATAAGTTACAGAGAGAACACAAAATGTTTAAACAAATACCATGCTGACTATTGGCAGGTGGGAAAACTTGTAAGAAATCCATGGGACCTGTAAATTTAGCAAGACTCCATCCCCCATTATTATGTCAGTAGAAAATGACTTGCATGACATGGACGCTGTTTGCTAGCTTTGTGAGGACAGTTATTCTTTACATGGTATACTTCCTTGGTAGGACTGATTGTTCTGTTTACAAAAATAAGTACTATTAAAAATAAAAATGGGTTGTCATTGAAAAATAAATGATTGTTGAGCATAAATGTTGTAGAGACTTGCTTATTTCTGCCCTCTGATGAATATTATCAATTTCAGAGAAAACAGCTTGAAGCTTTATGTTATTATTCTTGTAAAAAATCACATAGGTTTTACAGCCTTAGATAAGTTCTTTGAGTAGAATAGTGCTAAGGCTTAGACATTTCCAGGGAAGCTTATAGTTTCCACCTTTCCAATTTACTGATGTGAATAAGGAGAATTGAAAAGTAATAACAAAAACAAATAATAATAAAAAGGAAAGGGGCTTTTCAAATTGATTATGAACAAATTTATGGTGAGAATTAATGTTACAGTATTTTTATTGAAATAATGATGATCCAAGAATTAATGTGTGTAATATTCATGTTTGTATTTCTATTCTTGGTTTTATTTCTGCTATGTTGTATAATATTATATTTAATCTTTACAAAGAATTCCCCCAAATCTGTAGAATTCTGTTCTAGATACAAAATAAAAATAATCAATATAATCACACTATTTGCAGCATCTATCTTTAAATATCTGTCAAACTCTCATAATTTTGCTTCATTATAAGTAAATAGCTACTATAAGCAGAACATTTTAGTGATAAGAAACTATTTAGGATCAGGTTCTTGTCTGTGAGGAGATTACAATAATGTGTGAGATAACATAGATGTACAATAACTGTGAGGTATAATATTATGCTAAGGAAGTTTATGTGTGTTGTGTAGAATCATAGGTCATCTTTCAAAGTAGACATAAATGATTATAACAGCCATCATAGGAATTGTGCCATTCAAACTTATTCTCATCCAATGTGTATCATTTTAATGAATAATTTTAGAAATGGAAGATAATCTAGGATGAATTAATAGTATAGTAGACTCTTGAAAAACATGGGCTTGAACTGTGAGGGTCCACTTACCCACAGATTTTCTTCTGCCTCTGCCACCCCTGAGACAGCAAGAACCCCCCTCTTCTTCTTCTTCCTCAGCCTTGCCAATGTGAAGAGTAGAATAAAAACTTTTACAATGATCCATTTCTACTTAAAGAATTGTAAATATACTTTCTCATCCTTATGATTTTCTTAATAACTTTTTTCTCTGAACTATTTTATTGTAAGAATACAGTATATAATACATACATAACATATGTGTTAATTGACTGTTTATGTTATCAGTAAGGCTTCCTCTCAACAGTAGGCTATTAGTGTGAAAAGAACAGAAATCTCAGGACCCTAAAATCACTAAGCCAAGGAAAATGTCAAGCTGGGCACTATGTCAGGCAAATCTGCCTCCCATTTTATTCCAAAACAAGATAGGTACAAAAGTAAGAATCTACATACCTCCCTCACAATTTGTCCACAAGGAAACTTCTTATGGACAAAGAAGAACTCAAAGTCATCCTTCTGAGGCTAATCTAAGACAAATGCATATCTGATTGCTTCCTCTGCTCTATCTTTCATATAAAAATGCATATTCACTGAGCCAGGCTAAATTGCATATTCAGTGGAAGGCTGATCAAGGACTCAAAAGAATGCAACCTTTTTGTGTCTTATGTACTTCTGACCCAGAAGCCCCAACTTCGAGTTGTTCTGCCTTACCTGACCAAACCAATGTACATCTTATACATATTGATTAATGTCTTGTGTCTCCCTAAAATGTGTAAAAGCAAGCTGTACCCCAATCACCTTGGGCACATGTCATGAGGACCTCCTGAGGCTGTCACGGACATGTCCTTAACCTTAGAAAAATTAATTTTCAAAATTTACCAATACTTGTCTCAGATATTTTGGATTCACTGTATTCCTGGACAGAACGAGGTCTGGCAGTTTGTTCTCACAGTCCAATAACGAGATACAGACAGACTGGGGGAAAAAAGAGTTTCTGCAACCAGTTACAAAAAGAAGGTCAAGAGTAATTCATCAGACCAATGCAAAGTTACAGTAATTTTTCTAGTGCTTATATACACTGTCAGCTCCCTGCCTATGTGTGGGAGTGCACCTACAAGCAGGAGTGTTTCTTTCAATCTATATCTAATCTTTAGGGTCTGGGGTCTTACTGGCTTTGTTTTGCATTCCAGCCCTTGTACTTAGTTACTAGTTTCTCCAGTTCTTTAACGTTTAACTTATACATGTATGTCAGCAGAGTTATAGTAAAGGGTTAGTGGAAACTATTCTGGTTTCTAATGGAAACCTGGCCTGCCACAATCCCCATTGTCAATTTGTACATGATTTCTATCATGTTGGCTATTTTTTCAAGTACTGGTTTGTTAAAAGATTAGTACAAAAGTGTAAACTATGACTTAGCAGAATAAGGGAAAGTGGGTGACGTATTCTTTCCCTCTACTTCCTGCTGAAGAGAGTCATCATCAGGGGGTGCTAAAGTGGATGTCTATCTGGCACTGGTAAGGTTCCTGACTTCAGAGACTCAAAGGCAGTGCCTGATAAAACATGATCTTATGAGCTTGGGGAATGCTTTAGAACAGCATATAACAACAATATAGTTCATAACATAGTGTTATGCTTATGCCCAGGAGGGCAACTCGGACAAGAAGAATCTTCTGCTACCAGGAAGTTCTTCTACCAAATCAAGATGCTATCAACTTAATTTTTTCCTTGCATGGGGGAGACACACCAAGGCAGCCCCTTGGTGCTAGAGAGGGTTAACAGAGCACAGACCCAGCAAGAGTCTTGCTGTAATCCATCTGCATAATCCTGTGCCCAATGTAGGAAAAGGTTAGAGGTAAGCAGAAATAAGAGGAATAGTGAGGAAAAATATAAAAGAATAGCTTATCATCTTTTGAACAGAAATCATAGGCCTTTTGGGGATTCTGTCTCTCATCTGGAAGCCTTGGTGTCCTGTATCATCAACGTTTCCTCTGGCAGGAACTTCTTCGCCTGTATGTGGCGGATCCAGGGCTTGATGCCAACCAGTTTCATTGCCAACTTGGTAGTCAGCAGCATGTCATGGGGCCCTTTCTATTTTTTCTGTAGCTGCTGACTTGGGCTCATTTCTCTTCATTCTTTCAGCAGCACTTGATAACCAGACTGGAATGAGTGACATGGTTTTGCTGAGTTTACAATGCTCCAGTTGGAAGCAAGCTTAATGCGAAATGTTAGGTATTTGTCCCAAGTGAGTAACATAGTGTTTAATAGTTGTTTTTCTATGAAGAGGCACCCCAGTAACCCAAGATAGATTAGCAGCAAAGGGTCTCCCATTTATAATTTTATAGCGATTTAACCTCATCCCACTTCTTGGGGTCACTCTTACCCAAAGCAGTACAATGCTGAGTACGTGAATCCATTTTAGTTGAGTTTCCTGACACAGTTTGGCACTAACTGTTTTCATGTTTGATTCATCATTTGTCTGTCCAGAAGATTGCAGTCTCCATGCTGAGTGAGTTTCCAATTTATTCCAAGTGCCTTATTTACTTGGGACAACTGCAGGGCCCTAGTAAAGATGATCAGTTCTGCTTTCTGTGAAGAGGTTCCTATCAGTGATGTCCTTACTTCTATTCCCTCTGAAAAGGTTACCACAGTATATGTGCATTTCTTCTTTTGCTGGTTACCAGGGTGTTCCCATCTACAATGTCCAGTCTGCATGTGGAAGGGCTGTGTCCTTTAAGTTAAGATGACTGGAAAATACGTGGTCAATAATTTCTAAAGAATTATGCATAGGTTCTTCTGGCTCTTTGGTAGAGGGAAGTAATGTCACTATGTTTAAGACTCTAGGGGTCTGCAGTTTTATTGTGGGGTTATCTAAGAGCGTGGCCCGGTAATTGTCCAGCCTGCTGACTGTCCAGCAATAGCCTCACTTTTGTTCTGGTAACACTAGCACCAGGTAAGGCACACAGATCATGACAGGCTGTCCCACAGTCAACTTTTCAGCTTCCTTTAGTGGCAAGCAGGTGGCAGCAACTGCCCTTAAACGAGGGGCCAGCCTTTGACCACAGTATGCAGTTGTTTAAAAAAGTAAGCCACTGGATACATTATTTCTTCTAATGTTTGTGTAAGGACCCCTAGTGCTAGACACAGTCTCTCATGCATGTACAGCTGAAAGGGCTTGTGAGGATTTGGAAGTCCCAAGGCTAGGGCAGAGGTCAACTTATATTTTAGTTATTCAAATGCCTGCTGGTGTTTTGTTTCCCAAAGGAGTTGTCATTGGCTCTCTTCAACAGTTCATATGGTGGCTCTACCAGTAGTCCATAGTTAGGAATTCAGATCAGACAAAACTCTGCTATGCCTAGAAATCCACTCAGCTACTTTTTGGTAGTTGATGCTGCAATGGAAGTGATTGTGTTTCACCTTTCCACCTTTAAAGCTCTAGTTCCCTTCTGTAAGAGAACACCAAAATATTCCACAGTTGGTTGGCATATTTGAACCTTTTCACCTGAAACCCAATACCCACAGGTTGTTAGATGGTTGAGAGTTTTAATAGTGTTATTCCAACATTCCCATCTAGAAGGGTTAGATGTTAGTAAATTAACCATGTATTGTAACAGTATCCCATTTTTCAATTGTAAACTCTTAAATGTCAAACGAATGCGTCTCCAAATGCAGTTGGTAAATTTTTAAATTCTTGTGGGAGCACAGTCCAATTATACTGAAACCATGCTGAAGCTTTAGGATCTGTATATTCAGAGGCAAACAACTGACTTTCTGTGTCTGTGAGTATGCAAAAGGAAAGCATATTTCTTTTCTTTTTTTTTCTGGAGATGGAGTTTTGCTCTTGTTACGCAGGCTAGAGTGCAATGGCACAATCTTGGCTCACTGCAACCTGCGCCTCCCTGGTTCAACTGATTCTCCTGCCTAGCCTCCTAAGTAACTGAGATTACAGGCACCTGGCATCACACACAGCTAATTTTTGTATTTTTAGTAGAGACAGGGTTTTACCATGTTGGCCAGGCTGGTCTTGAACTCCTGACCTCAAGTGATCCACCTACCTCAGCTCACCAAAGTGCTGGAATTACAGGCATCAACTACCACGCCTGGCCAAGAAAGCATATTTCAAATCCAATACTATAAATGATTTATGATCTCCAGGAAGAGAAATGGACATAGTATATGGGTTAGCTACAGTGGGATGTATGTCTGCTACAATATTCCAGTTTAGATCTGTGCAAGGAATTGCTCCATCAGGTTCTGGATGTTCATTGTGAAGATGTTGTGGCTCTTCCTTTGCTTCATTTAAAACCAGTCACCACTTATCTGCCATGAGCATGTTTAGAAGAGCCTGCATGCACATCTGCCCAGATGGCACAGTGTGTAGCCAATATTGTGATATTATAAGCCCAATATATCCCACTGGAGCTCCTTACTGATTGACTCCTACTAGATATTGCTCTAGTTGGAACTGCCCAGCTCCAGACTTGCTGATTCCCTGACCAAAATTAGTATCTTGCCTAGTCCAAGAGGGAGACAGTAGCCCTGCTGTCTCCCTGCACTCTGGAGGTGACATCCCCTCTCTTTCCTGAGCTGGGGCAGTAGCTACTATAGGGTTCAGTATATTCATAAACTGTTGGGTTTCAGAAGTTTTCTGTTCCTCCCCTGGGGTGTCAGGATAGGCTTTAGCAGTGCCTTGCATCATTAACTTATTTTCTTTTTCTTTAGCATCCTTATTATGCAGCAACATAAATGTCTCAAAGTAAGATATTTCACCCCATTTGTCTGACCTCGGCACAGCAATTTTAATTGATAAATAGTATGGACATGTAAAGATCCAAAAACTGGTCACAGTTCCTTAGATTCCAAAACACACATTGGCCAGGCTGTGTCAAAATAGAAGATTAATTTCTTTTAGTTATGAGTGGATAACCAAAGTGCTTTCAATCTGATAAAAGTCTCCCTAGAGGACTATTTGTAGGGGTAGATGCAGTGTTGATCATACTGAGTACTCTAAACTTAACAAATATCAAACAAACAGAACAAACAAATTTTCAAAAACAAATATAAATGAATTCCTCAAACAAATGCAAAACACATATCCCAAGAAGTCCTATTATTACCTCCATAGTACCCAAACAAATGGCTACATGAGCCCAAATAGAAGAAATAATAGACTCCTGGCTTAGGGTCCAGCTTTGCTTAACCTTTGAGTGCAACTGTTCCCAATCTCTCTTCTTTCCCAGTAATAGAGGGATGGTGTAGTCTTTGTAGCCAGAAAGGTCCTCAGAGAGTCCCCAGGAAAAACCATACCAGGCAGTTGCTGGGGTCTCCCGATGACCATCTCCTTGCTAGCCATTGGCCACTGACCACAGCTCCATCTCGAGGGAGTCACCAGATTTGCTCCTGGACAGAATGAGGCTCAGCTGCTTGTCTTGGTGGTCCAATAATGAGATGCAGAAATACTGGGAAAGAAAGGAGTTTATTTCTGCAGTTACAATGAGTAGGTCGGAGTAACTCACCAGACCAATTCAAAGTTACAAAATGTTTTCCAGTGCTTATATACATTTTAAGCTCCCTGCCTATGAGTGAGAGTGTACCTACAAGCAGGTGTTTTAATCAATCTACAAGCAGGAATGTTTTAATCAATCTACTTCTAATCTTTATCAAGGGTTTGGGTCTCAATGGCTTTGTTTTTTCATTCCAGCCCTTTTACTTAGGTACCAGTTTCTCCAGTTCTTTAATGTTTAACTTACACATTCATCAGAGTTATAGTAAAGGGTTAGCAGAAACGGACTGTTCCGGTTGCTAATGGAAACCTGGACTGCCACACAGTAGTTAAGCTGTAGGGGACTCAGAAGTTATACACTGATTTTAAACTACGTGGAACTACATCCCTAATCCCCAAGTTGTTCAAAGGTCAACTGCATAAACAAAGAAGTGGGCATGGGAATAAAAGCCCATTTCAAAAGTGCTGATTCTATCATCAGTTTTTTGGAACTAAATGGTTTATGTAGAAAAGCAGCAAGAAGAGAAAAGTGAGTTCGTTCTGTAGGAGAAATCTGATATGTGACCAATCTTTCTAATTTTGAAAGCTATTTAGATCTTTTCAAAAGCAAATATAAAATTATTTGAAAAAACCTTGATAAAGATGCAAGAGGAATCCACATTCTATTTGTGTATAAAAATACTCTTTTAAGCATGTCTTATAGTCTGCCTGAGAAAAAATAAATAGCCCACACACTTCACTTAGGATATATAAAGTATACTTGTAGAACAGATCAGGTTTAAATGGCACCAGGATCCTGCAGTGTTATTTTTTTTAATGTGAAATTGCTCAAGAAAGATAGAACTTCAAAGCAGACACTTACCTCTGAAGAAAGATAGCTTACTGGGATTTTGTGCAAGGATAACAATGATTCTGCAGTATTTAAAGTTCTGTGTAGTGCTATGTTGACAGAAAGTAAGATATGTTGCAATCATGTTTCTGCTGATTGAAATCTGAGCATGAATTGCCTATTTCTGTCTATAATGGATTAGCTTATATCAGACCCAGTACAACTAGAGAATACCCAAAACAACTAGAGAATATAAATAAAAGATACAAAATAACTGTTTGAAGGAATTGATAAGACAGGGAGATGACAAATGCAGAGAGGTGAAACTATTTGCGGCACCTTTAACCTAAGGCCTTTACAGATTCTAAAATGGCTCCTGAGGAGTATAGAAGCTGAGCAGAGCACTTAATAATCACAGAGGACAGGGCGAACACAAATTGGAGATCTGGGTATGCCAAGGAAAGGCTCTGATAAACAGAAGTCTTTTAGTAGGGATTCCAAAAGGGTTGTATGGTATTAATAGAAACAAAAATACATTTATATAAAAACCTAATAGTCCAATATTATTAAATGAATTAAATCCCTAATTCAAACTTTTCACAAATAAAATTTTTGGTCCAGAGTGCTTTAGCAGTCAGTTCTTCAAAACTAGTTAATTCTCTATCTTTCATAGAAGAAAAAGCAACACTTTATAAGTGTTCACAATACCAATGAAACCTTAACACAAAAACTTCAAAAGAACAGAACAAGAAAGAAAAATTATAGGTCAATCTTTTACATGAACCCTACACACAATATTAGCCAACCAAAGCAGGTGATAAAAAAGATAAAATACACTCTGAATGGAGTTTAAAAACACAAAATATTGTATGTTGGCAAGGCTGTGAAAACAACTAGAGATCTCATACACTGAAAGCAGAGTAAACCGGCACAACCGTGCTTGAAAACTGTTAGTATCAATTATGAAACCTTTATGACAAAAGCAATTCCACCCCTGGGTATATAGTTAACAAAGTAAGAGCATATTTGCACAAGTCTTGTGCAAGTGTGTTTCAACTGTCTATAACAGCTAACAACTAGGAATAACTCAAATGCTTATCAACAGAAGAATGGGCAATTTAATGGTAGTATCTTCATACAACAGGATATTATACAGCATGGAATGAATGAATTACGGTAATTGTGACAATACATGTGCATCTCACAGACGATATATTGTGGTATGAGAAGCCAGGAAGATATATTCAAATATTCTATAATTTCATTTATAAAAGACTCAAAAACAGACAAAATTAATTTTTGATGTAAGAAGTTTTGGTAGTAAACACACTTGAGAAGGAGGCTAAAAAGTAACTTGGAAGAGAAATAGAAAGATTGTGTAATATTTAATAATTTGTTTTGTTTACTTTTATGATAAAGATGATTTTTACCTAAATGGTGCTTACATAGTATATTAAGCATAATATACTATGTAAGCTGTACTCAGATGATTTAAAATTTTTCTGTATTGTATGCTTCAGTAAAAACATGTATTTAAAAATTGTTGTCAAAAAAAAATAATAATTAAATCCATAGATGGAAGAAAATTTGAGGATTACTTAAATCTACATTACAAGTTTATTTTACAAACGAAGACATAAGTTTCAGGTTAGGTAGTGAACATATGAGTGTTTTCACACTGAGAGGATTCATTAAGCTATCTATTATTACCATGTGCATTTTTGTGTACATACATTAATTTTGGAATTTATTTTTAAATTAAGACACTAGAGAAGGGAGAAAAGTCGTATTATTTAAAAAAACAGATTTATAGAGAGTACTTGAAATTAGCTAAATTTTGGCATATATAAAACTCCTCCAATAGTGATATGTTAATTAAGATTGGCAGCAATAGAAGAGAACTACAAACAGCAAGCTGATGAAAAATGTATGTGTGAACTGCGTACTAGGTTTTTCATATTTGAACCACCAGAAATATGAGAAATACATGTTTAAAAGAGTAAAGAAGGTATTAAAAGTAAAATAATATTAGCTAAACTTTATACCTATTAAGCATTCATTGAAAATAATATTCATTAAATAATTTTGACTATTTTTTAAAGGCATGTCTTAGAAAAGTATATTTTATTGAGTTATCTGTTGATTTTTTTAAAAAAGTTTTTTGATGATTATGGCTGGTAAAATCTTCTTGACCAGCTTCACCACTCATAATTCTAGCACAATGCCTGAATAAATTTAATTAACAGATATAAGCAGGACATTATCAGATTAATAGTTTTTAAAGTAATTAAAAATAATAGAACAACACATTTCCCACTGAAAAAATACAAACTACTGGATACACAATGAACTTGATGCTTTGAACTTTGAAGTCAAAGGCTTTTGACTAATATTGTTATGACTTTGTAACACATTCCATCATTTTCTCCTTTAGATTTCTAAAAAATAACTATAATGCAGATCAATATTCAAGGGAAACAAAAACTAGAGGGAAATCCTTTAGTCAATGGTATTATATCTGAAGAGGTTATGTTTATATATAGGGAGATAAGCAAGTTGCTCAAGAATTGTTAAGTAAGATACACCATTGTTGAAGCAGCCATTCAAGAATCGCTAAAGAAATGATTTATGAAATCTTGGATATTCCCAAATATTTGACCTTGGGCAAGATGTATCTTGGTTATCTACATATCTCTATTAGTGAGCAATTATTATAAGAACTAGATATTTATATAAAGATTATGAGAATTTTGCATATATCTATTTTGTCTTATCAAGGCAATAAAATTTTCATAAAATAATATCAAGAACTAAAAAGGAAGAAAAATCAACCTCTTCATTACATTTCACTTGTTTTTTCCATGGAGATCATCACTCCTTTGGGAGTTGAGGAATGTGAGAGGATGCTGTATATAATAAATCTTTACACCATTACTGTTCCCACATTTCTGAATATAGGAAAAAATAATATCCACACAGTCTAGCATCTTTCAAGAGATCTTTTTTCTAAGTTCCTAAAAATTAAGTAAAAGATAATTTATTCTTTTCTAATAAATATTAGATAAAATTATATTCATTTTTAATCTAGATCTTTCTCCCAAAGATAAAACTCAAAAATGAATTACTTTCTAACTCAGATCTCCTAATGGCAACTCTAGAGAGTTTACAAAATAGGTTTAAAAATTTACTGGTTTCAAATGTGACTGTTTTCAACATCCAGCAAGGAAAAAGAAAACCTCCAAATTTAATGTAACCATATGGATGTGCTAACTAAAGATTCCCTAAAATAAAAACTTGAACTCTCCAATAAACATATTATGCTTTTAAATATCTGAGGGTGAAATAAAATTTACATTTGCAATGTGAAAAGTATTAGTTTATTACGATCATTCTTCTTCTCTTTATGCAAAATATTCTGAGAATCATCCTCTAGACTAATATCTCCTTTTTATTGTTTCCCTAACTCTTGTTTGATACATCATTTTTAAGAAACCTAGCCCATTTTGTATATAGAGTTAATTAATTAGAAATTTGAAAACGTACATTCAAGAAAGCTAAAACAATAATTCCAAATATTTTTTAACTTTCTATTTCCCTTAGATAGTTCCACAAGTAAACATTCTGAATAGTGATGGGTCATGGAGAATTATGTTGGTCATGTAAATTGTTTGATAACAGATAATAATCTGTATCATTGTAGAATAAAATCTTAGGGCTTACTGAATAAATGCTCATGAAATAGACCCTGACCCTGAAGTTCAGGTTTCCATTTCCAATAAATAGCAGATCCAAATCTTGTTCCAAAACATACCAATAGCAAGCTGAGCAAGATATTCAGAAAACTGAGGGCACTGCTATAAGTAGTCACTAAAAGAGAGTTGACCAGTATTGCTCTCTTATGCAGCATTTCACTCTTCTTAATGAAGCAGAGTAAATAGCAGGGAAGGAGACACATTTTCCTCATTGGACATCACTACTTTGGTAGCTTTCCAGTCACTATTCAACAGGTCCAATAATTATGGAAGCACTATACCCTTGCCTTACTGGAAATGCCACATTTGAGAAATGGCAAGACAGTGAACAATCCAATCCATCAAGAATTTCAGCCATTTCACCTCAGAAATTTC